TGGGTCTCTTCAGAATTCCTCTCTCTGATACGTTATGATGTGTCACGTGAGGAGTAACTGGGTCTCTCGAATATGAGTTCAGGTCAACTTGAACCTTGCCAGGTGTTTTCGAGGAAGATGGCGTTCCTGGTTCATGCATTGACTCTGCAACCAGCTCGACATTCTTCAGCTTTTCTGGACATGCATCCCTATGATGCCCATATTTTCCACAATGGAAACAAATTAGATGTAGTCCTTCGTACTCCACCGCTTTTTTTGTACCAAATATGTTAATGGCCGATTTCAGTCTTTTTTGAAGGTCCAGCTCCACGCATATACGTGCAAATCTGCCTCTTTCACTTGTATAAGTTATCATGTCCACCTTAAGGGTCCTGCCTATGAGCTTTCCGATAATGCTTGTTCTTAATTATACTGCTCCATTAACGCCAGTTGATTAACTTAATTATAATGAAATTCTTATAATGCTTTGATACTTGTCTTGCTTCGACCTAACAAGTTCTCGAGATTCAATTCATATTAAAATTAAAAAAAAAAAAAACTATTTGTAAAACTACAAAACTTGAAAAATCATTGGGTTAAAGTGCGTCTAGTCGTGTTGAATTATTTTTCAGGTGTGTTTGATACTCTAAAGTATTTTACTGTTTATCCAGCCCTCTAAAATATTTTCTGAATGCATTCAACATTATAAAATATTTTGTAGTGCAATTTTACCATTAAAATATTCATTTTTTTAGGAAGTATTTTTTCAGGAGCAATTTTAAACTCGCTATTAAATCCATAAAAAGTTCATATCAATGTGCATCAAGCATCATAAAGTATATTTTTCAGTATTTTTAGAATATTAGATGCACCTTGAAAAATATTTCAGGGTATTGAATAAACTACAAAATGCTTTAGAATATGACATGCTATTTTATACTGCTAATATAAAACTGGATTTTCTTCAATTAAGTTTTCTCATTGACAAGAAAAAGGAAGGAAAAAACTTAAGTTTGGCCTATGTCTTTTTCTATCACTATCAAAGGCTCTTTTTGTAGCCTTGAACAATCTCCACCTTCTGTTACCGCGTGGATTTTGATGAAGGCGTTTAATTGGTTGTAATGTTTGCTGATTATTAGTGAAATACAGAATTTCTACTTAAAAAAAAAAAAAAGCAAGCACTCTCCATCTTTCTTTGTCAAGGCCCATCTTCTAATAAAAAGATGCAAAAATGGAAGAGGAAAGTTGAAAAGAAAAGGCATCGGATATTTTTCATCATTTCCGTCTACTTCAAGGAAACGAAAGTGGGAAGAAAGTTTGAGGGTCCTTCTTTCATTCTGAGCTATCGTGGGGTTTGGGAGGTGAGAAAATGAAGGGCCTGCTTGTTATCATGTTTAAAATAACATTTTATATAAGTCAAGATAAAACTCCTTTAATATATATTCTATAAATTATGATTGAAAAATTATTTATAAGTCAGTCCAGGCAATCCAAGACACTTAAATAGGAGGAAACTTTGGTCAATTTACTTGCCCAAGTGATCGAAGGAGGAAGATGATCTGAACAGGTATTTTTGTTATATTTTTTTAAATGTTACAAGAGAAATAATACGGATTTTAAAATTTGTAGTTGATTTCCTTTGGTTTAAATTGAAGTTAGAAAGCTTAGCAAATATATCAACGTTCGAAAATTGATGGAAGCTGCGCACAAGTTGTTGCTGGTATGAAAGAAATTATAACTTGAATGAGTGGTTAATTGTGGCCAAGATTAAGTAATATGGGGTAAATCATAACGTATATATTTATTTGATTTTCATGTTATATACTTCTCCGTTCTAAATATAAGAGTCATTTTGTAAGACTTATTTTTTAGTACAAATTACATCATAAAATGAATCTTATACTTAAGACTAGAGTAGTATTGCTAAATAATGGCGAAAGCCACGATATAAGTCAACTAATTGCTTCGTTCTCTTCGTCCATATTTCCCGTCTTGTAAGAAAAAGAAGATGCAATCAAGGAAAAGAAGAATGAAAAAGAAATATCATTTCCGTCTACTTTTCAACGAAACGAAATGAGGGGGAAATTTCAGGTCCTTCTTTCTCGCCGAGCTTTTGTGGGGTTTTGGGAAAGGAGGAAATGAAATTCTTTTGTAGCTTCATTTATTTTCTCCACTTTTATCATGTGGTTTGTCTGTAATCTGAATTGGTGCCCAAATATTTAGAAATTAAGAAAATTAATAAAGTTAGAACTTGCAAGGAATGTGTATTGGTTTTCTAAAATATGCATAGAAAACTATGATATGTTTTAACACCATTAATTTTAATGGTAATTTTGACTGTATGATAGTTGAAAGTCAAAATATGAAACACCAAGATTTTTAACTTAAGAAAGATTAGGCAGGTGATGTTACGGATGTATTCATGGGATCTTCCTAGAAATTTTCTGAACATTTTGCTTTTTATTTTACTAATCAACATGCTTAACTGTGACTCAACATGGAAGACTTTTAGCTATTTTTGCTAAGGTAAGCTGGAGCGGAGAGGACAAGACGCCGCACAGAGCAGCGGAAACGTGCGGAAGAGTGAAGATTTCTACAAGTCTCATCCAACGCAGACTGCTGTTTTGTTTTCTTTCAATCGATTGAGTTCACCCAGGATCCAAATACTCATGTATGACCGAGATCTTGATCCATTCTTGTGCTAGTTGGATTAATTCTAGTAAGGCGCGGCCCCAAAATTGTTGGGGATCTCATATGGGTTGAATCTTTTTTTTTTTTGGAAAAAAAAAGGAATTAAGTGTTGCTCCTTTTTCCCCCATTAAGCCAAGAATACAGCGTCATCTCCTGGCTCCAAAATTGTTGGGGATCTCATATGTAAGTCTTAGGCTTCGACGATTATATTTTTGAGGGGGCCAGGATTCTGTGGATCTTTGGGAATAAAGAAAAACTATGAGTGGGTCACTTTGCCAAGAGTCTCCGGTCTTTATGTATTATGCAAATTTTGGTCTATGTGGGGTTTGTGGATCAGAACCGTCAGTTTATCCTGGAAATTGTTTATTATTTCTAACGTGCATGGGAAATCTCGTGTTAATAAATTGACAGTTTATTAATGTTCACTCACTTTGTTTAGCTCTTCCATTAAGATTTGTCAATATGTCCATTATAATTATTTCTTTTTATGGTATAGTTTTTTTAAAAATAAACTGCATGTTTATCTTCGGTATCTGGACTGAAGGGATCTGACGAAGCTAGCTGGGCGCATAAACATAAGTCAATGTCTTAATTATACTCTCTGTTTTTTTTTTTGGGGTTCCTGTATTTTACTTTTTTAATTTTCTGGATTTCAAAAGCTGATGAAAGGGAAATAGCTTTCTTATTTTTAAGTAGAAACAGACTTTTTTCCTATTTAAATACGACATGCAGTATTATACGAGGAACAAAATAAATTTCAACTGCTTACAAATCATATTAGGGAAAACCGTAGTTCTGGTAGTCGATCTTTTCATTTCCTGATTGAGACGGAGAAAAGCAAGCAACTTTCATCTTTCCTCTTGGTAGTTCCATTTTCTTTTAGGATAGAATACTAGCTGCTTAGTTTTTGGCAACATCTATTATTTTCATGATAAAGTCAATTCAGATCCTCATCATTTTCCTCTTTTAAAGGATGCGTATGTCTATGTTATCGTCACACTTGATAATTTTTCATTCTAAATTTACCCTGACATCTTCATTTCTATCTTCCAGTGCAAGCAATAATTATGACAGGACGAGCAAAAATATCTTTGATACACAATCAATGGACCTATGATGTCTTCCTCAATTTTAGAGGTGAAGATACTCGTTATGGCTTCACTAGAAATCTATATAAAGCTCTCAATCAAAGGTGAGTTCGCACCTTCTTTGATGACAAGGAAATGCGAATAGGAGATGAAATTACACCAACACTTCTCAAAGCAATCCAGGAATCTAGGATGGCCATTGTTGTATTTTCTAAGGAGTATGCCTCCTCAACATTTTGCCTAAATGAACTAGTCTAGATCCATCAATGTATTAAGAGAAATGGTCGACTGGTTTGGCCAATTTTTTATGATGTGGAGCCTTCTGATGTACGACATCAAAGAGGGAAATATGGACAAGCACTAGTTACCCATGAACAAAACTCAAAGGCTGATGAAGAAAAGATGAAAAGTTGGAAGCACGCACTACAGGAAGTAGCTAATCTTAAGGGCTCATCACATGATCCAAGGTTATTCCCAACTTTTACTTTTTTATTTCCTTCTAATTGATTTTTTTTTTACCTAGCTAGTTTCTATGGCTAGACTAGAAGATAATATTAAAATAATTTTGCATGCATGTGAAGAATCACTTGTATAGATTTAGTTAGAATTGACCGAAATTTCTATTTGGATTTCCAGGAAAGATTATTAGCATAAACTCATTAAAGAGATTGTGAACTATCTTTAGGATAGTAAAAAGGTGCCCCCTTTATGTTGCCCAATATCTAGTTGGGTTAAATTCTCGTATGCAAAAAATAAATTCTCTATTGCAACTTGGGTCAAATGATCAGGTCATCATGATCGGAATTTGTGGAACTGGCGGGGTAAAACAACAATCACACGTGCTGTGTCTAATGCAATTGCTGATAATTTTGATTATTTGTGATTTCTCAATGATATCAAAGGAGGATCTGAAAAACATGGCCTACAACAAGAGCAAGCCAGAATACTTTCAAAAATTTTTGGGGAGAAGATAGAAATTGAAGACATTGATGAAGGAGTTGAGCTCCTCCAACGAACACTCAAAGATAAGAAAGTTCTTTTGATTCTCGATAATGTAGATGAACGAATGCAATTAAAAAGTTAGCTGGGGCATGTGAATGGTTTGGTTTTGGGAGCAGGATCATTATAACGACAAGGGATACACAATTACTTAAGAGTCATGGGGTTGAAAGAATATATGAGATGGAGGGATTAAATCATGAAGAATCTCTTGAATTGTTAAGTTGAAATGCCTTCAGAAATATGGAAGTTGATGATCCAAAATACATGGATGTTGCGAATCAGGTGATAAGTTATGCCAGTGGCCTTCCTTTAGCCCTTGAATTAATAGGCTCTGATTTGTATGGTAAGAATGCAAGTGAGTGGGAATCTATGCTAGATGGATGTAAAAGAATCCCTCATGATCAGATTCAACAAATATTAAAAGTAAGTTATGATGGGTTAAAACAACTTGAAAAAGATGTTTTTCTTGACATTGCTTGCTTTTACAAAGGGAGTGGATTGGAATATGTCAAAAAGATGATAGCAACTGTTCATGATTTTGATCCATACTATCATATTGGAGTGTTGGTAGACAAATGCCTCATAAAGATTGATAGCACCAATTGTATTACAGTTGATTGTATTGAAATGCATGAACTAGTGCAAGATATGGGGAGAGAGATAGTTCGTCTGGAATGATAAATCCTGATTTTAATATCTTATTTGATATCTTTTTGGAGATATTTATCAATTAAAGTGGGATAAATTGCATTAATTGTGGGTATTTTGAATCAAATACTGATTACATGAAATTAGAGATTTAATAGAAAATCTTATCATATTTTTATCTCTTTTTAAATAATTGATTTTGGATTTGGTGATAGTATCTCAATTTATCTTTTGTAAGCTTTAAAAATAAGGAAATAAAGATAATGGGAAAGCTGAAAGGAAGGAAATAAGAAAAAAAAAGGAAAATTGGAGACATAGTTTGGATAGCATCAGATTATGATATTATCTATATTTTTATGGATTCAAAAAGAGGACACAGAAATTATCCTTGCTCCTTCAAATTTGATTCGGATATATCTCCCCTCCTTTACGCAATATCACTCCGCCGCCTCCCTCAATTCCTATACATACCGCCCCCCTTTAACAATCAGGGACACACACCGACTAAACATCAAAGCCTTCAGATCCTCTCACGCATACACACCCACGCCGCCACACAACTCAAGTTCTTTCTCCACTAGTTTTCGTCCTTTCCCCTTTCGGCCATATTCACACCACCTCACCCCACTCACAAGCGTCCAGATCCTTCATAGCCTTGCCGCCAACATCAACTGCTCCTCGCATACACACCTTCATATCCCTCACACACCCGCACGCGTCCTCCCTCTCACGCCACACAACTCCTCTTCCTTTCCATCAGGACCCGTGACGCCACCGCATCCATATTTTTCTACGGCCAATCCTCACATTCATCCTTCCCCCACGGCCTCATGGATTCTCATTGCTTCAAATATATTGTGGATTCTTCTAGAGCTATGAGAGGCTAATTTCCCTGTGCTTCTTGAAGATGGAGGAGTAGCTTGAGCTTGGAGCTTCAACTAGGGGAGTATTTAGTTTTCCAATTAATTTTCTTCTGAACTTCATTAGATTTTTCCTGTGTTAGGAATATTTTTGTTTGATTTGGAGATGAGATTATGTGTTATAATTTCTGTTAATTGGATTTTTGCAATTTAATTTGAGTTATATTACTTGGGGTTTGAATTTATATATATTCCCTTTGCATTCATTAAAATTATCTTATCTAGCGCGTTGTAAGATTTTATGATTGAGATGTATTGTAATTGAGTGTCTCCGTGAGCATTCTTTGAGAGGGAAACAAGTTTTATTAACTCAATTTAAATTGCACATCAAGTGGTTTTTAAAAGTGGCTAAATACCTTGATTACTATCTAGCGTTTAGGGTAGTTAAGTATTGAGTTTACTTGACCCAAATCATGTTTGGGGTTGTTTTTCTTAACTTGGTGTATTATGTTACTCCCATATCTTATTTAAGCAAGGATAGCTACATTCTGTTTTCAAGAAGCATTCTCATTACTGATTTTCTAAAATTCAAATTTGCATTTTTCATTCTTTCTTTATTAAAAATACTCAAAAAATTAGTTTAGATTTATTTCTTATTTTCATAATTAGTTTTATTAATTGAAAAATCTTTTTTCAACCCCCCTTTTTATTCTTTGTCACTTAGTTAACTTATGAATTAATAAAAGTCTCTTCAAGAGACACGACTCGAGTTGTGCTTTACTGTATAATTTGGTTTTATTTTTGATTTAACCCAAGACGATTAAAAAGGTTCAAATCAATTACCAAAAGGCCCAGGAAAACCCAGTAGATTATGGTCAAGTAAAGATATCCTACGTGTTTTGGAGAGAAATGAAGTAAGTCTAACACTAATTGGAATTATCTACTTCTTTTCTTATTACAATTAATGAGATTTATATTTATTTGATTTTAATATAGAAAGAAACTGCTTAGAATTCAAAAAAAGACCAGGCCGTATGCAAGGAATTTCAATAAGATTAACGCAAAGCTTGACTTGATTGATTTCTAAAGTTTAATTTATTGTGCTCATTATGTCGTGGTTTTAATTGTAAATAAGGATTTATAGATGTTTTTATGGTATTTAATATTCTCAATATTTACTTTAAGATTTAGTATTTATGGCTAAAATATATAAACGCAAAAAATCATCAGCCTAAAGGATAAGAAATTATGGGGATTTGTGTTATATATTTTGTTATAGAATTCATTTTCTGGTTCAGTAGTATTGCATCATATTTCATTGTGACTACTTTTCCATGATGACAAAAAAATTTCGTTTTTATTTATAGCTTATAAGGGTGAAAATGAATCAAAGTTAGCATCATAATACAGGACAGTCTGTTAGAATCTATAAAGTAAAACTTAGATATTTATGATATTTTTGTCCAATCAATTTGAAAACAATTATTTTATTAATTTTGTAATAAAAACTATCAATGTATTTAAAATTTTCAAAACTACTTGTTTTAATTTAATTGTAAAAACTAAATTAGTTGAACTACCTGATTTTTTTCTAAGATAAATTGTGACGGAGAAGCTTAATTTTTGGTCATGTAAATTTTTGAGAAAACCCCCAAATATCTTTTAACAATTTTAAGGTGTGAAATGATTTGGATATCCTCTATCTTATCGGTCTTGGTATTTGTTCATAGCTGCTTGTTAGGGGGCAATTAGGGTGGTTGCCCCTCACATCAATTTTAAAGTACTGAATGCATATAATTCATCTCACTGATTGATATATATGCGAAAAGAATATTATTTTTATATATAAAAAAGAATTAAGAAAAATCGCACGGCTCAATCATCAATTTGCATTGTTTGATATCTGCTTCATCATTTTGATTTTGATTTCGATCTTTTTTCATCGTTTTGTTTTATGATATGTTTATCACTATTTATGACTCATATAACTATAGCGTGGAAACCCTTGACATTTCTGGAGCTTCGAATATGTAATTTTTTTTTCTATGTACTATTATACATATATGAAACTGCTAATGTTTTGTTATTTTCTTTTATTTTTGGTTTAAAAGGCCACAGATGAAGTTATTATCATAATTCAAGTTGAAAGGCCTAAATGCATAGAAGTAGAATGGAACGGAAGTAGAATGGAACGGAAAAGCCTTCAAGAGTATGAACAATCTCAAAATTCTTATTCTTGAGAATACAAAATTTTCACAAGGTCCCAGATATCTCCCCAATAGTTTAGCGGTGTTGAGATGGAGAGGATATCCTTCATCAAGTTTGCCACGTGGTTTTTGTCCAAAGGATCTTGTTGAATTCAATGTGAGAGACAGTTGTTTCAAATGGAAACCAGTAAGGCAAGTAAAGCACCCCTAATATTATATGTATTTATTTGGTTTGCTAGCTTGTATTTCATCATTTGTTTAATTGGACCTTAGATATGGTTTTGGTTATTGCAGATAATGCAGAATGTGAAAGTTTTGAACTTTGAAGGGTGCAAGTATATCAGGCACATACCTAATTTATCTGACCTCTCAAGTTTAAAGGAGTTACGGCTTCGTAATTGCAAAATTTGATTAAAATTTATAATTTGGTTGGGCAATTAGCAAAACTTAAAACTTTGAATGTACGTAATTGTACCCAGCTTATGACTTTCCCAAGTGAATTGAATACACCCTCTCTTCGTGATTTGAATCTGAAGATGTGCTCAAGTTTGAATTACTTTCCAGAAATAGCAACTCGTGAAATGAAAATATCAGAGTTGAAATTGGTTGGAACTGGTATAAATTAGCTGCCTTCATCAGTTGCAAATCTTATTCAACTTATACATATAACACAGATTGGAAATGACACTGCGGGCAAGGGAATTAGGTCAATGAAGCTACCAAGTAGCACTTTTTTGTTGCCAAAACTTGGAAGTATATATGTTGAAGGATACGAAGAGTTGCTTATGGAAGTGGAGTCAATAACATGCCCAAGCATATGTAATCTTCAACTACAAAGATGTAATTTATCCAATGAGAGTCTTCATATTTATCTTACTTCATTCCCCAATGTTAGGCTTCTGGACTTGAGCGGCAGTGATTTCACAATTTTGCCCGCATGCATAGAAGATTGTCAAAATTTGAGTCAACTTAAGCTAGATGAATGCAAGCATCTAATAGAAGTGGAAAAGGTTTCGCCTTGCATACGAGATTTGACGGCAGAAGACTGTATCATTGAGTTCACAGTCCAAAAATTTATTGTTGAGTAAGGTCAATTTCTGTCTCTGCTTTTCTAATATTCATACCCAAAAAGTTCTACATATATATAACTTCATTTCTGTTTACTCACAGGAATTACTTGCATCTGTAGTACCCATCAACATTGAACTTCAAGATTTTCTTGATGACCATTTTAGAGAATATTTTTGTGCGCCAGGAGGAAGCATCCCAGAATGGTTTGATCATTGTAACAAAGGACCATCCATTTCTTTTTGGTTTCGTGACCACCCCCCATCTCTGTGTTTGTGCTATTGCTCAACCAATGGGAATCATGATTGGGTTCAAACAGAAGTGTTCAAAAATGATGAAATGGCATATGAATGTTACCTGGGGGGCTTGACCACAGGATATGATGTCGATCATATAATTATGCATTATATATGGAATTTCCAAATAGAAAGCGAAATTAAAGAAAATCAATGGAATCATGTAAATATTTGCCCACTTTTTGCAACACCTTACCTCTATATACTAATAGGATCATTTTTAATGTCTGTGAATCACTAACGCCAGGTTTCCATCCTGGGAAAATATAGGGAATTTTTTTTTTCCTTTAACATTGGAATCTGTCAATTAAACATTTTAAACCTTTAAAATAATTGAAGAGTGATCCACACTCAACCCTACATTCAACTTAATCTATTATCACCTAGAATGATTTCATATTGTGCAATCTTATAATATTATATTAAAAAAATATAGCAACCATTTTGGTTGACTACACATACCTGCACCCGGCAGTGCTCTTCCACTTATGAAGAATATAAAATAATATTTACACAAAGCAAGTAAAGTTACTTGCCCATATATTTTGCTATTCAATTTACAGAATTATAACAGGTATCTCTGCTCTTCAACCAGCCCA